CCTGTGCTGCCTATTTTCCAATGCCTAAAAACCATTATTTTATATATTTAGGCCAGTTTTCATATTGTTTAAGGTGGGAGGTCCATGTTACTCCCTCACGGCCAGAAACAGAAGTTCTAATTCCATGTATTTTATGTACAAGTCTCATTCTTAACATTATTTTACTTTCTTATCTTTATTTTCCCTATTCTTCAATATTCTAACAAACAAAAGTTTTGTTTTTTTATACAGTATTACTTATTTCACCAATTAAACATTTACTGTATGAGGGTGAATAAGAAAAACAGAAATATAAGTTCTCATCCTGAAATTTCATCTTCATTTATACCAGTTATTTTCAAGTTCCTTCAGACTATATATATATATATACTGTGTGTGTGTGTGTATATATATATGTGTATGTATATATGTATATATATATAGTGTGTATATATATATACACAAATATAAAAAATCATATAAAAAACAAACAAAAATCCTCTATTCATCAAGTTCTTTGTTTACTTTGGGACTGAGATAGACCTAGAAAGAGTTGAAGTGAATAAACAATAAGAAATTTCTTCTCAGTACCTAAGTAATCAACATAATCAATATCCTTCTGTATATTATATGTATCTTCAACTTCTTAGCTTACTGACTTCTTGGCATTGTTATTAAGGAAAACAGAAAATTACTTAAGAAAATTCCAAGTTAAGTTTTAGAATGAAATGCTTTTTTCTTTCTTTGAATACAATAGAATGCGTTGGAATACTGTGTTGAGGTTGAGAGGATACTAGGAACTGGACGGTGTGAGATTTTCTCAAATATACTGTGAGCAGAGCCTCTAATATTTGTGACAAAATCCTTTTTTTGTTGTTGTTTACCATTTCACAATTGTAATATATTGTGAAACACCTCATTCTTTTAAAGTCTTAGGTTGTAAAAGTTAAGGACCATGTCTATGTAGTATTTGTCACATACCATCGAGTACAATACCACACACAATTAGGTGCTCAATATTGCTTTTTGATGAGCAGGATAATCACTTTCTAAAGAAGATCTATCAATCTCTATGGAATGGAGAATGCGATGGGCATTTGAAGCTAATGTCACACACATATCTGAGCTATGAGAGATATCTATACATTGCCTACATTTAGGTCCTTATTTTTCCAGTTTAAATTTCTTTACATTACTTTTCTCTTTTTATTTTTCAGTAGTATTGCATACTTTTAGTCTAGGGAAAAGGACAACGCATTTTTATCCCACTCTGTTATTAACCTTCCATATGTTATGCTAAAAATTTGGCCTGTGCTTTGTCTTCTCTGTTGGAATTATTCATATAAACTCAGAGTTTGCCTTTTGTTATGACCCTATATCATAAGATTAAATAATGCCTTTAATATTTTCATAAACTAATATGCAGCAAACAAACCCAGTTATCCATCAGAGGAGAGACTAAAAATTAAAAAATTAGAACAATTTAATTGAGTCTGTGCACATTAGGACATGAAAAATTTATAGAAAATTTTTACTCTTGTGAAATTTCAGGTATGTCCCCCCCACTCCCACCCCTACCTCCCTACTTGTTTTCTTAGTTCTATATACAAATGTCCATCTTAGCACTCATGGAACATTTGACAATATACTATAGTGGTTAAGCTCACAGAATCTGGAGGCAGACACACAAGGTGGGTGACTGCGGGATCATTAAATCTATTTCTGTACCTCAGTTTCCTCTACTGTATAAAATGAGGATGGTAACAGTACCTACTTCATAGGATTAGAAAGATTAGATGTTGAAAATTATAGTACCCACCTCATGGACTTGTGAAAATTTAAGACCTTGTAATAGTACTTCACAGTTATTAAACCTCCAATAAATGCTATCTATTATTGACATCATCATTAGCATCATAACCATTACCATCAAGAACTTTGAATCTCTTGGGAAGAACAGGTCTATGTCTTATTTCAATTTGTGTCCCTAGTGTCAAGGACAGTGTTTGGCAAATAGTATGAATTCAGTAAATATTTTTACTTTTTCTAAATTGTGTTTGTTTGTTTTTCCACCAATAGACACTTAGAGGGATGGAATTTTCCTGAGGAACCTTAGTCCTGTGGTTTGGTTATCAGTAGCAGTAGAGATGATTTGAATAGCTTTCGGATCTACAAATAGTGCCTACTCTGAGACTCTCTGAACATGCCCTCTTCGCAAGTTGGGTTTCTCCGTTGCCCCTTGCTTTTCCCCTAGACTCTGAGTACATGTTGAACTGATATTGCATCCATTGCTATCATCTCCAGATACAATGGCTTACCTAATGGGAAGGATGCCATCTCATTGCAGAATAACTGAATGCCCCCTGCCCTCAGCCTTCCCCAGCCTCTCCAGTCTACTACAGTGAGCTCTCCCATGTTCAGCCGCTCAAAGGCTATAAAACCTTTAGAGTTCCCAGATAAGTATGAACATAGACTATCCCTATTAAGGACTGAATAGGCTATATGGATGAGTTCCTAAGAAAACAATTCAAGTCCTCGTCTTCCAAACATATCAGTTTAGATCCAATAAAAGAAACAAGGGGACTATCAATGAAGGAATTTTTGTTCTCTAATCCAGTGTGCAAGACCCCAATGCTAAAAACAAAATGTTTTAAGCTAACTCTTGCTAATATTAAATTATACTAAAATTTAAGATGCCGCTAAAACCACTTACCTTTTATGCTAAATTCATGGATCATACTTTATTTTAAACCATGAGCTACTCACTGTCTTCATAGACTATGCAAAACCCTGTTAACTTAGATAATTCTTTGAAATTCCAGGCGTGAATTCTTGAAAGAATGCATGGCTTGCAAACTTAACTTAAAAAAGATCCTCCTGATTTCAAGGGCTGACAGATATATTAGTAGAGGAAGCTGTCTACTCAGTAGAAAACCATAGGGGAAAAGTTGGAGCAATGCTGAATTAAAGGAGGAGAAAATATGCACCCTGTCCCCTCCTGAATCACTGCAGCAAGTTGTAAATGATGTATGAAATGACAAATCCCTGCCCAATGCCCAGGAAGAATATAAATACTGCTCTGTAATCACTGCAGTGATGTGCTATTTGCTAAAATTTTCTGCTTAGGTGAACCCAGGGAAACCTCACCTCATCTACAAATCCGAAAAAGAACTGAACCGAAATGAAATTATATTATTTTACTGTATTCAACAGCCTCCTCTTTTTTTCCTTTTTCCTAGCCATAACATATTTATTGACCATTAGACATACTTATTGACTATTAGAATACTTGAGTGTTGCCGAGGAGTTTTTCTAACAAAAAAAAAGTTTTTTAACGTTAAATAAGAAAATGTCAAAACACATATATTACATAGAGGATAGCAGAGTTTCCATTCCAGCGTCAATCAGACCTGGGTTTGGACCCTGGTTTTGTTTGAATCCTAGGTTTGACTCGCTGCATGATTTTGCACATTTTTTTAACTTCTCTGAGCTTCCATCCTTTCCTTTGTGAAATGGAGATAATATGTACCCACAATTTGAAGATTAAATGAAATAAGTCATGAAGTCCATAGCACAATATGTGACAAAGTAGGTACTTGTAAAATTTGAGTCAATTTTTTCCTCCCTTTTCATGATGGAGGCACCTGTTCGGGCATGGAAGGAATGTTGCATTCTGAACTGGAAGTCTTGGATTTTGATTTTTCACTTTTTAATTTGTTTGACAATTCACTTGACCTTTCTGAATAGATACTGGCTAATTTTTTTTATAATTTTATTTATTTATTTTTCCCCCCAAAGCCCCAGTAGATAGTTGTATGTCATAGTTGCACATCCTTCCAGTTGCTGTATGTGGGATGCGGCCCCAGCATGGCCAGAGAAGCGGTGCATCGGTGCGCACCCGGGATCCCATCCCGGGCTGCCAGCGGTGGAGCACGCGCACTTAACCGCCAAGCCACGGGGCCGGCCAGATACTGGCTAATTTTTAATGAAAATAGATATTAGTTACATCTTATGAGAAAATATATGATAATGTACACTTTAAAATGTTAAATAAGTGCAAGGTATTATTATTATAAATTAACATATCAGAATCAAAAGTATATACATATATAGTATCCAGGTTTCTATGAATCTGCTCTTCAGGGACATGAAGAACTACACTGTTATTTTATTCTAAAATGATACCATGAGAATTTTCTTTGGTCAGTTTTTTCAAGGGCATATTTATTGAAAGTATCTCATCATAAATTGCAAGATGTCCTCAGAATCAGAGGTTATGAATGAGTGTATTGGAATTGGACTCTAGGACACCAGGTTTTACATTTAAAATCAAGCTGCAATTTGTCTTTTTCTATCTTAGTTCTCTCTCTGTCATTCAGCTGCCCTAATTAGTTATGGAAGTGGACATTGAGTGGCCACCCCATGCCAGATTAACTTTCTTCTCTGCATATACAGATGCAAGTCACCTTTGGAAAAATCAAGGTGTAGGTCCCACTACATTTCAAACAATAACTAATACTTTTGGAAATTTTTAGAACCTTCTCCCAGTAGATAATGTTGTAGAGAGCAAACTGAAGAAGAATTGCCCCATGCCACTAATAAGAATCCACATCAAAGTTCTCCTTTCAAATGAAGTGACATTGCTATTCAAATGTATAGCTTCATATGCATAAAAATTAGGTGATCACCAAAGGAAAATAAAGTGATTTTCAAATTCTAATTTAATTCATTTAATAAGACCATGAACCAAAGAAATGAAAGATGTCAAGGAAAAGAGAAAATATACCCCAACCAATAACAGGTTTCATTTCCTACTAGGAAAAAAAAATAATGCTCAGTAAGATTTGAAAAGAGAATGAGGCCAATTCATTTTGATCCTGTGGCAATACTTTGAAGCTTACTTTTTAACCTAGTCTATTTTACATTTTCAGATGCTATGAAAGGCAATGTATGCAGAAAGCAACACCAATGGGGATTTGGGTATTTCATTTTCCCCACTGTAGGGATGATTTGGATCTTACTTTTTCTGAAAGCATCTTTAAAGAATTCTTCAAGCTGTCTGGAGAATGCTGGCTTGCAGAATTAAGCAGTAGGTCTGCATAGGTCGCTATCAGAGGTTGTAGTTGATTGATGTTGCTGAGAACTTCTTTTGCTTTGGCTGTGTTTTCAGGTGAATAGTAAATAAATTGGTACTCAGTACTGCAACAACAAAGATAAAGACAAGTTACACAAAAAGCAGGAAGAATCTGCAGCCCTGAATACTGGCAAATGATAAACAGAACTCCAAATATCATTACTCCCCATTGAACAGACAAGAACTGTTCTAAGAGACTATTTTACAATGTCCTAAGAGTTTTTTAAGTAACACGACCAGGATATTTTTTAAGACTAGGTAAAATAAATCCAGTCCTTTCTTAACCACTAGGACGATTCTTTATGATTACCTATGTCAAATATTAGTATTCAAAACAAATCAGTATTAATAGAATTACTAACGAACTTGAAGTCACATAGGACAGAGGGAAAAATATGAGTCTTTATATTCAGGTGAACACGAATAAGTTTCTTATTCTTAACTTATTCTAATTTTTGTAATGCCTTTTATAAGGCTGCTTTTTTGCACTCTATCTTTATATTCAGCACAAGTTGCTTTGGATCTCGTCTCATTACTAGTGTTGCCTCCTCTGATATTTTTCATCATCCTTTCCTTCTTTGCCCTCCCCATATACTCCCTACCCTCTTCCCCTGCTCCTTTCAATACATTCTTCAATCACCATCATGGGACATAACCATAACTCCTGCCCCTGCTCCTAAGTCAGTCTCCGTTGGAGCAGAGTTTTGTAGTAGGCATTGGCTCTCCTGATTAAGTCTTTAAGGATGAGCACCTTACCTAGTGAGGCTGAAAGATTCATTTTCCATAATAAAAGCCAATGCTGGTATCCAGGATGAAATAGTATGGTATGGAAAAAAAAATATCTCTACCCACAAAATAATTTTAAGTATACATAAATTTCATCCACCTATTCAGTGCCTTACTCTTTAAACATGTCATATATTTTAACAGTTATAGCTTCTTAAATGGAAAGTTATGAGTATAATTTAATTACCGAAATAAAAAGAATATAGCGAAACTCTATTTTATAGTGGTCTGAAATTTAAACTGAATCCAAACACTTGAATCAACTATCAATCAGACAAAACCAGAAGAAAGACAAAATATTTGCTTGGACAAAAAACATTTTAATAGCATATAAATAATACAGCAAATCATGGATAATGAAAATTGAAATTGGTTTCATGATAGTTTTCTATTGATGAAACAGTGAATTAAAGTGTGTTATATATACGCACTTTAATTTATATTTATTTAAATTATTTAATTTCAATTTAATTAGAATACACACACACCCATACTCATATGTACATGTGTGCATATTTTCATATTTTGGAGATGTAAAGAAGAATAAAGCATATGATGAAATTATATTTATATTCATAAATTCTAATTGCTACCAAAATACAATTTAAAAAGCGGTTGTATATTCTTGAGTGCGTATTCCACTTCAGTTGCTTTTTGCTGGTCCTCCTTATTTCCCCAACCTCTGGCAGTGGCATGCTCCAGGGTTCAGTCCTTGGAACTCTTCCTTTTTTTATCTATATGTCCTTCCTAAGTAATCACATTTAATCTTGTGGTAAAATACCTCAGTTGTGCTAATGATTCCCCAATTCACATCTCTAACCTAGACCTTTTCCCTGAACTCCAATTAAAAACAAAAGCTCTCCTCTTGACAGTTCCAACTTATCACATCCCACACTGAGCTCTTGATCTGCTCCCCATTCTCAACACGAACCCTTCCTGCACTCTTCCCCAACGTCGTTCACAGCAAGCCCATTTGATGCGGTCTATGTCTCTTCTCTTTCTCTCCTATGTTTTGTCCAATTTTCAGAATATTCTGCCTTTTCCTTCGAAATACATGCAGAATCCAACCACTCATTTCCAAACTCCCTGTAACTACCCTGGTGCAAGGCACCATCATCTTCTACCGCAAGGATTATTTAATAGCCTACCAACTGGTCTCCCCACCTCTGTCCTTTCTCTATGACATTGAAATCCTTGACTTATGCTTAGGTTTGAAGGAGGCAGGAGGCAGTCAAGGAGAGAGAAATAAAGCAGCTCTCCCTTGTTCCCTGTCCACATCCCAAATCCTGGGACTCGCTCTGCCACTTATCTCTGCCTCCCCTCCCCAACATCACTACTACCTCCATTCCTTAACCCCTTTGCTCAGCCAAGCTACTACTTTGGTAAATGGAGTCATAGAAAAATACAGATGAGAGATGATCAATAGGCACAGAGGGAAAAGGGAAGGCATAGATAGAGGAGGAGGGGCATGAGAATAGGAAAAACTGCTGTTGAGTGACGGGCCTCTGCTCCTGTGGCAGAACTAAATCTCTCTAGAGAAAAATTCAAGGACTATTTTCACTTATTTTTTCCCAACTCAAGCACTACTTGCAAAAAAAACCATCTCTTGAATCCAGAAGGAGGGATAGACATGCTCTCAGTTCTAACTGAGAAGAAAACCGTGTGGATAATAAATGAAAATTTACACCTTAGTGTACTTGAATATACCCTTCTGGCTTCACAGGGTTTAACAATGTGCTTCATGAAATTGTAGAATGTAAAAACATACTCCTCTGCTTTTCTCCATGCACCCTTTCCATTTCTTGCTAGAAGTGTGGCTTAGAGAAAAGAACTAGAAGGAAAACAGTATTTGTTTTGTTTACCTCCTAGAGATTTCACTTATATAATTAAATGAGTTACATGATCTAAGCATAAATTGATGTTTATCTTTGAAACTACTCTTTTTTTAAAAAATGTTGGTTACATGGAAATTTTAGAATCAGTATTTTGAACAAAGATGGATTCTGCCAATTACTAGCTCTGGGACAGGTAATGCTAATCAAGAAAGAAAAAACCTAAAATTCGTTTTGGCTCAACTTACCCTCAAAAAAATTTGCCTATTGGCTCTGATCACAGTGGCTCCTACTTTTCCACTTTTCAGTTTGCAAGTTCTTATCTGCAATTTCTTGACCATTAAGACCTTTTCTCTATATACATCCTTTCCTTATCCCTATTCTTCTTGCCCTAACAAAAATTTCCCAGGCACTCATATGACTTTAGACAAAGTCCAGTGTGTTTTCACTTCCTTCCATGGCCTATTCCCATTTATCCCTGAGTTCACTTGCACTGATTTCGTTTGCCAGCTTCAAGGATCTGGTCAGTACTATTTGTGCCTTGTTTGGCTTCTGATATTTTCATGCTCACTGCTCTGTGAAGGTGTGATGGAACAACACCCAAACCAGGCCCCGTGATTCCCTCCCATCCAAAGAATTTCTCAACTCCATCCTGGACTTTATTCATTCATATACCTATTCAAAGAATAGAAACCATTCCCAAATACACTGCAAAAGTAAATGTTCCCTTGACTGCAACTGGGAATGACAGACCTTTTTGGGGTGATGGAAATGCCCTAAAATTAGACTGTGAAGATGACTGCACAATCCTGTAAATTTACTAAAAATCATTGATTTGTACTCTTAAAATAGGTCAGTTGTATGATATGCAAATTACACTACAGAAGCAGAGAGTAGAATGGTGGTGGCCAGGGGCTGTGGGGAGGGAGAAATGGGGAGATGTTGGTCAAGGGGTACAAAGTTTCAGTTATGCAAGATGTATAAGTGCTGGAGATCTAATGCATAGCAGGGTGACTATAGTTAACAATACTGTATTGCATGCTCGAAATTTGCTAACAGGGTAGATCCTAAGTGTTCTCACCACAAAAAGAAAATGGTAACTTTGTGAGATGATGGAAGATAGGTTAATTAGCTTGACTGTGATGATTATTTCACAATGTATACATATATCAAAACATCAAGTTATACAACTTGAGTACATAAAATTTTTATTTTTCAATTATACCTCAATAAAGCTAGGGGAAGAAAAACAAATGTTCCCAGCATATGACATTATAGTGCTGGTGATTATGATTCTGAGATAAAAATGTAGGAAAACAGAAGGTATATTTAGGGACCATTTAACTTTTTTCCCTGTTAAATCTGATAATACTTTTGTGGAGGGTCTATAATAAAGCCAATAATTTATACTGTAGAATTTATTCTAATAATACAAATCTCTCTCTCTCCTTCATTCACTCATTTTAATAGCTAATAATCATTGTATAGGCCTAGGATTATGCTAAATTTTTTTCAGGGATTGTCTTATTTAATCTTGACAACAGCTCTCTGAGGAATAATTATTCTTCCAGCATACAGATAAGGAAATTGAAGCTTGGGTAGGTTAAGCAACTTGGCCAGGATCACAGAACTAGCATAGATGGTAGAACCAGGGTTCAAACCCAGGTCTTTATTATTACACAGTCTGAACTCGTAATTATGTTTTACTACCTCATGAACACGCTATTGATCCATTTTAAATTTGGAAATGTTATAATATGATAACTAACACAGGAAACATCTTTCACTTAGTAACATAATGGTAGGTACAGCCCATAAATATTAAAATAAAATTTAACTGAAGAAGTTCTCATCTTCTAATTAAAACAAAGCTCATTAAAGAAAATGTATGATTCTACTTTATAACACAGATTAGACTAAAGAAAGAATTTGAATATCATCTCACAGTAAATTGCTTTCAACAAATATTTAAAGACTGCTACTTGGTCACCGCATTTAGGAAAGTGAAAGGCCACAGGTAGCCAGCAAGATCATCAGTGTGGATGATGTGGATGAGTGTAATGATGCCTGTACTCTAGATCCCACAGCTAGGGCTGGTAGCAGAGAAGAAGGAAAAGGGGATAACTTTTTTGACTCAGTCTTCTTCCCATAAGACCTTGCAAACCTAAGGCCCGATATTCTTGGTGTGTGCAAATACCTTTTGATAGCCATGGTTTCAGGGCTTGCTTACTAAACACTCAGTACTATAGCTCCTTACATTTCTGAGAGGTCAGACAGTTATTTAAAAGCAACATGAGAGAATGTCACATTGCATCCAACATTTCCAGGTATTTTGCAGTTGATTTTCTTTTTTTCATGACCTAGTTTTCCATATTTGCTTGAAGCAGAAATGGCAAAAGTAGTTTACAAAGACATTTCTTTTACTCTACAACTAAATAAAAAGGAGAAGACATAGAAAACAAACTATCCAAAAGAAATAGAACTCTGTCTGTATCTATCCATATGACTCTAAATAAACTTATTATCCTTTCCAAAACACTCA